CTTCTTCTTCTTCTTCTTTTGATTGGCTCCGCAACCGGACAGGTTGGTACTGAGCCATTGAGTGTCCGCGCAGTGTTGATGGGTAATGGACTGTATTAAAAGGCGAGGTGGATAAATCGAAGATTGGGGGGGACACTCCCAAACCAGGCGCCTGCTGCCACCCAGCGGTGGTCGCGCGTCATGTGGAAGGGAGTGGACCACTAAAAGAACAGATCGGAGGCTCCCGCGAATGTCGTGAGGAGCCTGCAGAGCTTAGGAGAGGGATTGGATAGGGCGGGAAATATGTTTTCAGGGTGTTGGGGAAATTTGGATTTAAGGTAGTTTCGTAGATGGAGAGAGTTTTGTTTATATACTTCACATTGAAAAATTACGTGATTGATATCTTGATTATTATTCCCACAGGGGCAAGCAGGAGATTCCACTATATTCACTCTGTGTAGGCTGCTATTGAGATTATAGTGGTTAGATCTGAGTCGGTTGATCATAACAATCTCATTTCTACTCCAAGATAGATCATTGAACCAAGGTTTGGAGGAAGTTCTAGGGAAGTATTCATGATTGAGAGCGCCTTTATATCTAGCAGATGAATTAAGATATTCAGTAAATCTACAATGCAATCGTTCCTTAGATACAGTGTATAGGTCTTCATATGGAATCCTGAAGGCTGTGGAGAGTCCCGTTAGAGAGGCAGATTTGGCTGTTTCGTCCGCTTTTTCATTTCCCGGAATACCCACGTGAGATGGGATCCAGAAAAGGGTGATTGTGATTCCCTGCTGCATGGCCAGAAGAATGTTTTGCTTGATGTAGTAGACAATGTAGTTGTTCTGTATGTAGTGATGATTGCTGACTGCATCCAGCGCACTCTTGGAGTCTGAAAAAATGACAACTTTGTTGCTTCCACAATCTCTGGCGAGGAGGACGGCTTGGTAAAGAGCCCAAAGCTCCGCTGAGAAAATAGAGGTTTCGCTTGGTAGCTTGTGTTTAATGCTGATATTCAGATCGGGAGAGTATACTCCAGCTCCGACAGCACTGTCAGGTTCCTTGGAACCGTCTGTGTAAATAGAAATGGCATCTATTCTGTATTCTAGTGAAATCTCGTAAAAAATGGCAGCCGTAGCGTGGGGATCGTCTTTTGAATGAAAGAGAAGCATGTTGCCGATATAAGTGATAGGTTTGGCTATGACTTCAAATTCGTGCCAGAAGGCTGGAGGGTATGTGGTGCGATGTGTAATTTTCTTGTCTGGAAGATGTGTAATATAAGACTTGAATAGATTAGAACTTTTGATGGTCTTCAATTTCTGGTTTTTTTGGATGGCTGTAAGTTCCAGTTCTTTAAGGGCTTCATATGATGTACTAAATTTGTTAGCCATAGCTTTGTATATATATTTGGATGTGATATAGGAAAATCTTAAGTGTAGAGGAGGTTCCCTTGCCTCGCTCAGCATGGCATTAATGGGGGTGGAAATCCGATATCCCATAGCCTTTCTAATAGCCTTATACTGAATTCTGAGAAGTTTAACAAAGTTTTCAGACTCCGGGTTCCATGTAAAGATCTGAGCTCCATATTCGATAGCACTTTTAAGAGTTGCCCTGTATACCGTAAGCAGCACGTCGGGATGTGAACCCCATTTGACTCCGGCCAAAGAAGAAATTATATTAGCAATATTCTTACCTCTCTCTATGAGGGCCTTTAGCTGTGGAATACCCGACAGCTTGTCATCTAAGACAACCCCCAGGAATTTATGTGTGTAAGCTCTGGGGATATGTGTGTTAGAGATTTGAATATTAGGATCCTCTGAGCAACTTTTGATGCGAGAAAATATCATATATCTCGATTTAGACGGTGACAGTTCGAGACCTCTGTATCTTAAATATGTATAAATGTTATCAATCGATTTTTGCACGGATGAGATAGCTGAGTCAATGTTTCTTAAGGTGGAATATATGACAACATCGTCAGCGTATTGCAAAATACGAGAATCTGAATGAATGTGATCGTTGATATCTTTAAGGTAGATATTGAAAAGCGCAGGACTGAGTGTGGAGCCCTGAGGTGTGCCCTTATAAGAATTAAACGGTCCTAAGAGAGAACCGTCTACCACGAAATGCAGACGTCTCATAGAGATGAAATTTTCAATGAATTTTCTAATAGAGGCGGGAATGCCAATTTCATACAAGTCCCTAATTAGAATGTGAGGTATAACATTGTCGAAAGCTCCCGCAATATCGAGAAATACTGCTACGGTAGGAGATCTCCTAATAAAGCCTGTTCTGATATTAGAGGTGAGAGTCACGAGGTTATCTATGCAAGACCTGGTTGGTCGGAAGCCTGACTGCGTTTGTGGAAGAAGAGGACGTGATTCAATAAACCATCTAAGTCTAAAGTATATCATGTATTCCATTAATTTGGCAAAACATGAGAGAAGAGAAATTGGGCGCACAGACTTCCCATCGGTTTTAGGAATAAGAACGACTAGGGAATCCTTCCAAGAGTCCGGTATAACTCCCTGTGCTAGTATTTGATTGTACAATTCAAGTAGTCTGGTAATATACTCATCGGGAAGACTGGAGATGATGGAATGATCTATTTGATCCAAGCCTGGGGCGGAACGTTTTTTAGCCACATTGATAGCCCTAGTAAGTTCGACTCTTGAGAAGGGTTCTTCCAACCATTGTTGTGTATTATGTTGAAGAAGATCTTCACGTTTCATATCCTCAATATGTTTGTGGTCGTTATATGGACAAAAGGGAGGACATAGTTTTTCGATGGCAGCCAGTGAGACCGTGTCAAGATTATTGTCCTGGTTCGAGGGAGGGTTTTTGTTACGCCTGAAACTTTTAATAAGAGACCAGATGCGGTGCGTTGAAGTTTTGCAATTAAAACTGCCAACAAGTTTCCTCCAACCAATTCGTTTAGCCTCCTGTATGCATTCTGAACACCTTCTCCTAGCAGACTTAAAATCATCGAGACGAGCTCTGTCAGGGCACTCGGCGAGCCTTTTGAGCGCCTTTCTCCTTTCTTTGACTGCAGTATCACAGTCATCGTTCCACCAAGGAGGTGATTTCAAACGACAGGAGTTTATCTTACTATGTGGCACGCCCTTGTCCGGTGGGAGTAATCCTCTGGCTGAGGATTGAACATGTTCGACGAATAGGTTGTATTGTGAAGTGGCGTCCAGGGTTTCTTTTCCTGAAATTATATTGATAGAATTCTTGAGCATAGAATTTAAAGTAGTCAGTTGATCCTTATTCAGCTTAAGCTTATAGCAAAATTTTTTAGAATAGCAAGGCGCAACGTTAATTTTTGTGCAGATAGGAAAGTGGTCACTACCATACGTATCGTCAAGAACATAACTGGAACAGATTGGAGCAAGAATAGGAGAAGACAAGGAAAGATCGATGACAGAGCTCTGTGCGGAATGATGTATTAAAGTGGGAGAACCATCATTTAAGATTACAAGATCGAATTCTTCTATAGCTTTCGACAGCCTGTTACCTGCACCAGAACGAGAGGGACAACCCCAATTAGGGTGATGAGCATTGAAATCTCCGGTCATGAGTAAAAGGTTAAATTCCTTGAGAGCATTTAAGAGGTCTTGGTAGAAAGTGAGTGGAGTGTCCTGACCGGGGTGCCTGTATATGTTCACCAAGATGATCGGCTCCCTGGCAGTAATTAATTTAATGACGTGATATTCTACAGACGGGTGTTCAATATTTTGGAGCTTAATGATCTCGAATTTGACATTGTCTTTGATGAATGTGCAGATGCCGCAATGCCCTGCAAGGACAATGTCATTTCTGACAGCGCGAAAGGATTTGATCTTTAGATTAGAATCTGGTTTGAGTAAAGATTCTTGAACGCAGATAATGTCATGATCTTTGGCCAACAATACCAATGAACCTTGGTTGCCTCTGGCGCCTCTACAATTCCATTGGATGATTCTTATGCCTGCAGAGGATGGTTGCCTGCGAGAGGATTGAGGTACAACTCTACTATGATTAGTTTGTTTGTGTATATTCGAGGTGGAAGAACTAGTACTTATTTGAAGAATTCCAGTTCCGAAAATTGTCTTGTAAGTAGTCAGAAGAAGGATGCGCAAAGTCCTGGCTTTGGGAGCCTGTTGGATTATATGAAATAGAGTATTCATTGTGATTATTGCGATGAGAGGGGGGGTTAATATCACCAGTGGGATATCTGTAGTTATTGGAAGATGTGTAATTCTGTATGAATGAAATGATAATATTCATCAGTGAGGAAAAATCGTGATTGCGAAAACAATTAACAATCTCTGAAATTAAATTAATGAGTTCCGGAATATATTTGGCAAATTCAAAAAGGTTAGGTTCACCGTAACCACGCTGAGGAGGGGGGGGGAGGAGATAGATTGATAAGCCGTACCTCTTGCGTTAGAATAGCCATAAGCCCCGTGGGGGTTGAAAAGTGCTTCTTGGTGAGCTCTTCTATCATAGCCCTGGTTGTTGACACTCTTTTGGTTAGTGTTCAAGTGGTATGGTGAACCTTGCGTCGAGTGATGATATCTGTTTCCGTTATGAGTGGGAGCCTGCTGCGAGGTGCGTGCCGGCCGTGAGCCAACAGCTTCGGCATAAGATATACGGCCATGGTCTAGGTCTTCTGCTTCTAAAAGGTGGAAGGGGTTAGTGGACGTAAAGCTGGGTGAACCTGAAGAGCCATGTGGCGTTTTTGAGTTTAGTCGTGGAAAGTCTTGAGAGTCCATTCCAGAGCTGTAGCGAGTAGAGGGACCTTGGTTGTTGACAATTCTCCTAGCATCCGCTATGGAGATATTTTCGACAGCTGCCAGTTTAATGATGTTATCCTGCTTGGTGATTATCGGGCAGTCTTTGGAGGTAGCGAGATGTGCGCCTTTGCAGTTGATACATACAGGGTCGGTTTCGCCATCCCTTGATGGGCAGGGGTCTTCGTTTTCATGGGCGTTGTTTCCACAATATAGACACCTAGGCGGGCCCTTGCAGACTTTAGCTATATGTCCGACTCTAAAGCACGAGAAGCATATGCGAGCTTTAGGTATATAGGGTCGTACCTCATGTCTGATTTTAAACAAGAACACTTCTCTTGGAAGAACCTGTCCAGCAAATTTAATGCGAAGTGTCTTGGAGGGTACATATTCGCTTTTACCATTTATTGTGACTCTTCTATTTAATCTTTGAATGTCCAAGATTTTGGCGGTTGGCGTTTCAATGTGTGTGTGAATGTATTCGAGTGCAAGTTCGACAGGTACATCCTGAATGACGCCTTCTCTGATGACTCTAAAGGCTGGTATGAAAGCTTTAAGGTTATGTTTAGAAAATGTTGGATTATCTACTAACCTATTAGCAGCGGTGGCAGATTTCGCCTCTATAAGGATTTTACCTTTACCGATTTTTTTGATCTCCTGTATATCTGGAATACCTGAGTTCGCGATGATACTTGAGATGACAATCGGATGTGTAGCCTTTTCACGATTCAGGTCGTAGACGTAGACCGCGTAGGGACCGTTGTCCTGGGGGCGATATTTAGGTGCAGCTTTAAGGTTAGCTGCAGCATTAGTAGTATCCTGAGAGCGCGCACCGATCGCGTCTTCTGCGTTATTTGGCCTTGGGGAGTCTCGAGGATTCAAAGTGGAAGTTGTCGAAGCGGTAGATCGCTTTGGGGGGGAGGTCGAGGAACGACCTTGTGCTTCTATCTCCTCAGAGGAATGGCGCTTCCTAGTATTTGTAATTTCGTCTATTTCCATGCTAGGATCGCTTGAGGTCATTACCTGAGAGCTATCTGATGATAGTGGGGGTGGCGATGATGATGACGTAATTTCTTTGTTAGGGTTGCACGTTGCTATCTCAGATAAGCCTGCTTCGTCAAATAGCGATTTAAGCATCGAGCTAGAAAGATCGCTGGAAACGTTAGAATTCATATTAATGGGTGAGGAATTGGTCTGGTTAGACGGATTAATCACCAATGTAGGAGGATGTAGGGAGAAGGAAACACTGCGATGTGAGTTTTGGTCACTGCTTCCCCCCGAGTCCGAGGCCATGCCTCTGCGCGGGAAACCGGAATGAGGTTATGCAATAAATTCCCCGGTACGTTACACGTATGATAGAACAGAGCAGAGCTCTCGTATTAAAGTACGAAACAAAGCAAAAATGCGCAACCTGAAGCCCTGATAAGGGCTGATTAACGTAAGATCGCGAAAAAAAACACCGTGTTACGGTCGTACGAATAATCACACGTCCACCTCGGTTGCCAGATCTAGTCTACCATCTCGTGCCACTTAGTGCGTACTACGCGAGTGTCGTGCGATCAAATGAACACGTGACACTAGCCAAGTACGCATTGGCACTGCCAATCGAACACGCTCTTGACACTGAGTGCAGCCAGTGCACCCCAATCAAAAACGCTATAAGATAAGTATATCATGTGATGTTGACAGCACGCTTGTCATGGATCTAATAAGTCATTGAGAACTTCTCATTAGATCCATGACAAGCGTGCTACCAACATCGCATATGTTCATTTTTAAACTGCTATTAAATTTGGAAAAATGGACATTATTGGACCTATAAGGATGCGAATTGACTATTCATTCAGATACTTTATCCATAGTTTACATAACGATGAACAAATATTTTTTGTAATTTTAAACACAATTTAATGTGTTTAATCTAATTACGTACAATTTTTAATCAATTTTGCATATATTTAGTTATGTTATTAATGTATGTAATTGTTGAAGAGGGTCCTAACCGAGGATCGAAACGTCCAATTAATTGTTATATACAACAAACTTTAATCGCAACAACATCTAGTATTGGCTCTCAAAAGTTTTTTATTTTTATTTGACGCAATAATAAAGGTACATAAGAATAAATTTACATTAATAAATATGTAATACATAGTTTATAAAAATGACAATGTATGATAAACTATGTAATAAATCATAAAACTAAATGTGATTATTTTGTATCAAATACCAATATATATAAATATTTTGTATCAAATCAAATATAATTTTGATAGATCTCATTACTATAATTATAGTATTAAATCTATTATATACATATAGTGTGCTTGATTTAAATGTTAAAATGTAAATATGTCTAACTAGTAGAGATGTAAAACAAATTTTTTCTAAAAAAATTATTTTATTTTATAAAATTTATACAACGATCAACACATGTAAATTTTAAATCATTCGTTTTTTAAGATTATTTCAAAATTAGTAGTTTTTAAAATATTTATTTTAATATTATATTTTTAAGGCTCCTGAGTAATCGCCGCGGCCATATTAAAATCATGACGTCATAGGCAAGAAATAATACGTAAATTTGTGTTACGTGTCATTTGTAAATAAAGACCATTTGAATAAAATGAGATGATAAGATCGCTTTAAAACAATTGTAAAAATAGAAGAAGCTGTCCTTATTCACCCTGACAGTTAATAAATAATGATAAAAAGAGATAAAAGGCATATTATGTGCTTTTATTCAATGCGCATGCATTGTCTATTGTTACTTATACGTGCCTTTATCACTTTTTACAATTACTTTAAAACGATCTTATCATTTCGTTTTATTCAAATTGTTTTTATTTACAAATGGCACGTAATACAAATTAACATATTGTTTTTTACTTCTGACGTTACAATTCAGGCTATGGTAACTATAATTCAGGAGCTTTAATAATACATAAAAAAAAGGTCTGATTTTAATTATTCATTTTTATGATACATTATTATTTATTCTTCTAATAAGGTTACATATTATCAAACTATTTATTATATTCAAATTATTTATTTTAAACTAGACAAACATATCATTCTATTTGAAATAGGTATAATTGATTTTGTAAAATGTCTTCGAAGAATAATTTTATACATAATTTTAAGTAATTGCAAACAAAAATCAATTCACAAAACAAAGTTTATACAAAGACATTTTTTTAAACTCCACTAATTAAAAAATGTTTATATATTAACACTTATACCAAACACAGTAGCTTTAGGGGCTGGTTCTATAACTCTTAACGACAGTCATTGATGTCATTGCGCAGCTTTTTTACTCTATATAATATCTACGCAACGACATTAATGACTGTCGTTAAGAGTTACAGAATCGGCCCCTTAGTTTATAAACTACTAAACTACAATTTCTTGCCCTTACCTGCCCTATTCTTTGTGTATAATGCTTTTATTTTAAATTTTATTTATAAATAACTCGTTTTTTTTTTAAATATTTTTGTCTAATTTATACTTTTCTTCAGATATTAAAATTGAATCATTCACATTAAATATTTATAGATAACTTTATTAATGTCTTTATTAATAATGCATTTATCACAGTAGTATGTTATTATAGCCTTTTAATTAACTTTTTATCTGAAAGAATTGTTGTATACCTTTATTAATATGAAAAATTAATACAGTAAAGATAATATAGTAAATTTGTGTGTATGTGTGTGTGTGTGTGTGTGTGTGTGTATGAAATATATAACATAAATTAATTAACTAACCTGATTTAATCATCCCATTCGTCGTCATCGGTAGTATCGCTAGTGGATTCTTCACTTTCACTATGAATTGCACGAGATCTTTCAGCTAGAGCTCTAGATAATGCATCGGCCAAGCCACCACGAAGTGCAGGTACTGAATTCGATTTTGCTTCGTTTCGGACAGGTTTTAATTCAATGCCTTCACGTATTTGTCGTAGTAACTCACCTCTTGAATCCTCAACTAATGCTGGTTTCATTTCTGTCTTATCGACTTTCTGTAAAGTAAAACGTCTATTACAAACAAATGTACATAACACAATAAATTACGCTAATGTTTCCGATGTAGTTGAGATTAAGATTCAGATTATTTCGTTGTTCTTTAATTTACAAAAAAAAACTTGAATGATTTGTAGTTATTGAAATAAAAATATATTTAGATTTTGTTCGCCATCTTTCCGTTTTTCTTTTTCTCTTTTCCTCTTTGCTTCTCTCTCTCTCTCTCTCTCTCTCTCTCTCTCTCCTCTTCTTTCGTCATTCATTTTTCTCATTTCTCCCCCCCCTCCTGTCTTTCTTATTATTTTTTAAAATTTCGACTAAATCGTAATTTTATATATATAATAATTACTTTTTTCCTCTTTTACAGATTCGAAAATCCTTTTCTAGGATTGAAATATACGCATTTGTTATACAAAATTACGAATTAATAGTCGGTAATATAGCCTTTAGGATCCTCTTAATTCTTAGAAAGCAAAAAGAGCATATCGGAACAAGCATGTGAAATCGACCCCGTAGCAATCGAGCAAATTAATGTCATTAGTTGGCACCTTTGAGATATAAAACTTTCCCAAAAAATAGCCTTAAAGTTACATTTTTTTGGGAATGAGCGTCATTTGGCTCGAAGCTTGATTGCCTGCCCGCTAAAAGCTAAAGAGCTACGGCAATTCCGTTAAAATAAATAGTTGTACTGTTGCTTCTATTAATATTCTATTTTTTAAATTCATTTTTTTAGATTATTTTGTTTTATTAAAAAATGTCTACAGCGTTAAACGTGTAATTACGGTATACTAGCTGTGACATTAATTTAAAAAAAATTAAAAAAGGTAGAAAAATATTAATATTCAATGAAGATGTAGCGAATTTTTTTTCTAGCTATTTAAAAAGAACAATATCCGTCAATGACATTTTGTGCTACAGATATCAGCTTTCTATTTAGAAAAAAAAGATGACTCTGAATTGGAAATTAATAGAAATCTTTCTTGCTCCGAATTCTTCTGATCTGACATCGAAGTTCAGTTAGAACCAAATGAAGTTATGCCTGAAGTCGAATATTGAAATTCCTATTCAGAGAACATACTTCTACGCATAAAAACTGTTACATTTGTTCTTCCACAAAAAATCTTATTATGATAATTCCGGAAGAAACTCGAATGCAATCGTACATTAAGAAAAAATCTATATGTATACTAATTATTAATCGATGTTGTAGAAGTCATATAATAAAAAATCCATTTTTTGAAGCTCTTAATCTTTTAACCCGGGAATAGGCGCGTTCTAGTCATTTTGACCAAAATATATTTTTGCACATATGTGTTACAACTAGAATACATGTATGATTATCATTACTGTAAGTAATAATTAATAAGAAAACGAGACTACAAACACTAACGTAAATGAGTTTACGTACTATTGCGTACCGGGATGGACGTGTTCCGTCTCGGCTTGGGTGTTGTATCATTCTTAATTTTTGTCAAGCTGCCGAGCTTTTCGTGATTGTTTCCTTTTTTTGATTTGTTACCTGCATTTTCGAACTAGTTTATAGCCAGATCGCGACCGGGCTGACTGCGAGAGCTAATAAAAGAAGAAAGAGAAGACTAACGTAAGTACGCGCGCTACGGTTTTTTAGACCAGGCCTGCAGCCGAATTACACATTTCGACCGATTTTACCTATCGTGATAGAACCGATGGAAGTTACAGAATGCATAGAAATTCCTATGCATTCTGTGTAACTTCCATTAGATTAGACATTCCTGATTCACAAAGATAGAAGGTAATTTTTATTGACTCATTCTTTTATTTAACTTGATGTATTTTTTCTTTTTTTTTATATGTTAATTTCATCATATATCTATAGATCTCATAAGAATTTTTACACTTTTATTGTTTACTATGTACTTATATACCTACGGACATGTGCGATAATATAGAGATCCTACAGGTTTTATACATCAATTTACGTATTATCACTTTATTTTTTGAAACTAAATTAATTATATGTAATTATAGCCTTTTAGTGTAACTTGCGTATATAACGTTTTAGGATGTAATCTTATATTTATTGTAACAACATTGATAATGACCGAATGTTCTGGTCAAAACGTATGTTTTATTTTATTTGATGTTATTTGAAATATTATGTTTTAACAACTGTAACCTATAGCTGTTGCTCATATACCCTTGTGTCACATTTATAACTGATAAATTTCAGTCCTAAGTAATGTGTCGATCAACAAGGTAAATATTAAAAAGAGGAGAAAGAAGTTAAAAATAAAAACAATTGAATCGCATTATACAAATCGAAAAATAAAAACTGTTACACATCGCAAAGACATATATACATATATATGTATATATAT